AAAGTAACTTATGCACAGCATAGTCATTGTTGACAACAAGTTATTGGACAGATGTGTTTTCCAAATAAACCTGAAGGCAAACACTCTCAGATTTTAAACTGGAATATGGGAGAGTTGACAATAAATTATTGGACAGATAAACCTGAGATAAATGCTCTCAGATTTTAAACTGGAATATGGGAGAAGTAGCTGTTGTAAACACGTACATAAACATTTATGATGAGTTCATATTGGTTTGGATCTGAATGAGGTAATGATGATCTGTGAGCAAAAAGTATACAATATATTAGCTGGCTGGATAGCTCAGTGGTTTAGGTATCAGAGGTTGCGGGTTTTATTCCTCATTGTGCCTGCTGCAAGTACAGCCAGTCTGTGTGACTTTGGGCAACTTACACAGTTCCAGGGCACCTCCAGAAGAAGGGAATGGTAAACTACTTCTGAATATTCGTTATCTAATACCCTCTGAAAAAGATTGCTGTAAGTCAGAATTGACTTAATAGCACATGATGATGATGATTGTACAATCTCTACTAGGTGTTTAACTAGTAAATTAAGCTTTTTTAAGGATCAGGGAGAATCAACTGACTTGATCTGGCCTATTGGTATTAGGCTCAAGTGCTGCCGTGATTTATTTCCTATGATTTCCTTTGATCAGAACTCACTGATGGTGCTTTGAATTCTTGCCTGACACTCTTCAAATTTCTGAGTCAAGAGCTACTACAGGTTTGTCTTGACAGGCTGGCTACTTCTAAAGTGTCTTTTTCACCAGTGTGGTTCCCTGTAACACCAGTATATCTATGGAGTCTCCAACTGCTGGCTTCTCGTGGTTGGCTGTGTGATGGGTTGGCTCCTTTTCTGCAAAAAGAGAGCAGTTCCATCGTTCACTGAGATATATCAGCTCTAGGGCTTGAATGCCACAGATAGTAATGCCTGACGGTATCTGCTGATTTTCCAGTTTTGTTCGGGCTGTCTTGATATTCAGGCTTCTCATTCCCATCTATTTTCTCAGCCAAGCTGTTATCATACCTAAAGCATGTCGCAAGCTTTGATCTATAAAAATGCAAAGAGTTTTTCCCCACTTTCCTCCTCCTGATCTGTCATGTTCGTGACTCATCTGAATAAATACCTATTTTACTTTTTGGTGCTTAATTTAAAAAAGTAGAGGATTCAGCAGTAGGGAGGTTGGAGCCCTCATGTACAGGGCTGGCCTACTATGAGGGAAAGGCAAGTAACTGTCTCCAATGACAGATTCTTGTAGGTTTGGAATGATAGTTGAAGGAAAGAAGTGTTTATGTCATGAGTCCCACCCTGTACAATCTCCTGGCCTCCATTGTGGTGGAAGATCTTTTCCCACCCCTAGCCTTGTTGGTCTAGTCAAATTCTGTGAATGATTTGGAGACAGGCATCATCTTCGGATGCCCCAAGCTGCAAAATATTTTGGGCTGGCAGAGTTCACATATACTACTGTTCTACTTCCATACGTTTTGAATAGGGTTGCAGGTCTTTGCATGGCCCTGAAATGCTCTAGAGTAGACCAGCCATTCTCAACCTTTTTAAAGCACAATATGAAAGAGATATAAGCTGAATCAGGAGTGTATAAGTTGCATAATGAATCTTATATGGTACGGTGTGAAGGATTGTTTCCAGTCTGTGGCCCGCTTTACTTGTTCCATATGCCCCCCCTTAAGAATGGCTGCTCTAGACCCTCAACATGCTCTAGACCCTCAAATGCTAAAATTAGTGTTCCAGTTAAGCATGGGATCTTTCCAGTTCATGTTCCAGCTGTATATCTCCGCACTTCAAAATGTGAGTTCTCCAAAGTGGCAAGGCATTACATCCAAAGGGATTCCTTTCAGAAAGGAATATCATGTCACCATCTTCATTATTTTTAATACATTCCCTAAACTGTATGTAAGAATATCAGAAGAACTCTGCTGGATCAGCAGAGGACTGCCTAGTCTAGGATCCTGCTTCCCGGAGTGGTCAAGTGTGATGCCTATGAAAAGCCCAATCTGAGACACAACAACAGCAGCTATCTCCTGTCGCTGCCCATGCTCCCCAGTAACTGGTAATAAAAGGCATGTTGTCTCTGATCCTAAAGGCTGTATATCGTTGTAATGACCTGATTCCACTGAGAGCCTTATCTGACATGTGTCTGTTTAATCTCCTTTTTTAGTAATTTTAAATTGCAGAATTGTCTTTAGAAGGACTAAATTAGTCCTTCTTTCCTATCATTAGTCAGATTGGGAAATTGCCTCAAGCGGCTGGTGCTGGTGGGAGGCCACTGCATTCCCTTCTGACCAATCCTCTCTGAACCTCCTTGGGATTCCTTTCTGTTGGATGGCATTGCTTGTCCTTGTTCCCCTAAATTACCCTGTTGTCCTCAGGGATACTACTCCAAGGACCTGTTCCATTGCAACCAGCTGTCCATCCAACATTTGTAAGTGGGATAGCAGAGGGTGGTCATAATCTTGTCTTTTGCCACAAGCAACACCAGCATTGACCTGGTCCTGATCATGACATCATGGAGAACAAATGCAACAGTTTAACTATGTACTTCATGAAGGAATGCTTCTTTTTGTCTGTCATTAGACAAAATGATATCATACCCCATTCAGCATCACTGGAGGACCTTAGGTTCTAATATTATGAGAGAAAACATGTCTTTCCCAGAGAAGTTGTTTCATTTGGCATCTCAGCTATGGCAAACCTAGTAGTAGAACTTAAGCACTGAATTCAATCTTTGATTTCAGTATTCAACAGGATCGGATAAATACCATTGAACAATGAAGCCAATAATTGTTGGCAGACATGCAATAGTATCTGACTGCGATAGTTGGAGTATTCTATTATTGAGTGCAGTGTAGAATGTTACAGTGTGTTGCCATGAAAGCTGAATTCTTCGTAACTGCTATGCAAAAGGGTATGTAGTGTTGTTGGAGAGCCTGCAATAATATTGTCTATTTAAAATCTGTTTACACTTGATGCCTATCAAAATAAAAACAATCAAGAGTTGCCAGGAAGACAAGATTTGGGCACTTACATTTTGAAGTTAAATTTTGACAGAATAAGCATTTAAAATTTCCAGTTCAGGTGGTGGCATTTAAAACACTGATCGATTTTAAATACTGTATTTATTAATGTCTGGTTCTGTCCTGTCTTCTGTTCTTGTCTGTGTTTTCTGCATTATGGGAAGCTTCTAGATGTACTTGTATTCCCCACATTTTAGGTACTTTAGATTCTAAAATATAGAAACCTTATCCCCTGTTTTAGCCTGAATACATTCAATATTTTAAAAAAAGTTAGGACCTATTATTACTGTAACCTGTGACAGGACTTCTATTGCTGACCTATGCATTCTGTGAAGTAGTTTATAAGTAGTTTATAAAGGTAGAAGTACTCAGTTTCTACTTCAGCTTGTTCTTTTCCCAAAAGACAGCCTATGACCCTGCAGGCAAATGTGAAGTACAAAGGGAAGGGACAGGATTGCAGCTTGGGATTGATAAAACAATAGTTAAGGAATATCTCATTAGTTTGAATAAGTTCAGATCCCCAAGCCCAAATGAACTGCATCCAAGAATCTCAGAACCACTGTCTAGTATTTTCTGGAAATCTTGGAGGATGGGTGAAGTGCTGGATGATTGGAGGAGGGGTAATGTTGTCCCCATCTTCAAAAAGGGCAAAAAGGAGTAATTTGGGAACTAAACACCAGTCAGCCTAACATCAATCCCAGGGAAAATTCTGAAGCAGATTATAAAGTGGTCACTCTACAAGCACCTTGAAAACAATGCAGTAATTACTAGAATCCAAAACAGATTTGTCAAGAAAAAATCCTGCCAGATTAATCTGATCTCATTTCTTTATTGGGTAACCTTCCTATTAGATGGTGGGAATGCTGTAGATATAATGTATCTTGACTTCAGCAAAGCCTTTGACAAAGTGCCCCATGATAGTGTGATTATGAAGCTAACTTGGTGTGGGCTGGATAGAACAACAGTCAGGTGGATACACAATTAGTTACAGAATCATACTCGGAGAGTGCTTATCAATGGCTCCATTGAACACTGGGAGTCCTGGGTCCAATGTTCTTCAACATTTCTTATCAGTGTCTTGGATGAGGGAGTGGAGGGAACACTTATCAAATTTGGATGGAAAAGCTAATATAGTGGATGAAAGGAACAAAAAAGATCTTGATAGGCTTGGGCACTGAGCTGAAAACAACATAATGAAATTTGACAGGGATAAATTGAAAGTTCTACACCGAGAAAATCAAACAAATGAACACGTAGTTACAAGCTGGGAGATAGTTGGCTTAGTAATACTGTAAGCAAGAAGCATCTTGGAATGGTTGTAGATCACAAATTGAATATGAGCCAAGAGTATGAATGGTAAATGCTATTTTAGGCAGCAGTAACAGAAGCATAGTCTCCAAATCCTGTGAATTACTAGTCCCCCTGTATTCTGTACTATTAGGCCTCACTAGAGTACTGGGTCCAGTTCTGGACACCGCTCTACAAACTAGAACATATTCAGAACAGGATCAACAAGGACTGTCAGGGGACTGGAAACCAATCCTTATGAGGAAAGACAAAAAGAACTGGGCATGCTTAGCCTTGAGAAAAGAAGACTGAGAAGTAAGATGATAACACTCTTCAGATACTTGAAAGATGTCACACATAGGAGGGGAAGGATCTGTTCTCGATTATCCCAGAGTAGAGGATATGTAATAATGGGCTCAAGTTAAAGGAAACCAGATTTTGGCTGAATGTTAGGAAAAACATCCTAAATATTAGAGCTGTATGACAATGGAACCAATTGCCTTGGGAGGTGGTGAGTGTTCCAACTCTGGAGGTATTCAAGATAAAATCGGACCACACCCTGTCAGATCTACTTTGATGTTGATTCCTCCACTGAGCAGGAGGTTGTACTTGATGACCTTATAAGCCTCTTCCAATTCCATTATTCTGTGATTCTATGATTTAGTCTGTTTTAAATCTCCAGATAATTTCTAGTGTGTTTTCCTGAGTTCTAATGCAGTCTTTTATATGGGGCTTAAATTAGTATAATCACTAAAGAATATGAGGGGAGGTAATTCTCTGTTATTTTTTGTTGCTATGGAAAGAAAAGAAAGAGATGGGAGAAATATTCTGGTTTTCCCCCACCCAGTACCATTATAATGTTGTAAATCTCTGTCATTCATCTTGGGGTTTTTTCTGCTCTCTAAACTTACACACACACATGTACACACGCACACACATAGCAGACATTCGGTAATTTTTTTGTAGAGAAGGTGTGGCATGGCATGATAAGGATGTCTCAAGACAGTGAGTGTTATGAATAGTGGGAGAAGAGACGTCTATGTCTACTACACAGCCTACTGAACACCCAAACTAAGGGCCTGTTTATATGAAGCAATAGTTTAAAATGTGTGGCAGTTTAAATTTAAAGTGAAATAAAATCAGCTGCCTGCCTCAGTAGCTTCTTAACATGGAATTGGGGAAGGGGGAGTTGTCCTTTACCTCATGCAGCAAAACATTTTGGGCTTGCTGAGAACTGTAGCTCTTCTGTACTTTTGCAGAACTACCACATGCACAGAGCCGCCACTATCAGATCCCTCTCGGTTGGAGACTACCCTATGTCATGTTCCTTGTAGTTGTCTATGGGGGAAAAAATATACGTATATGGGATGTGGTGCTGGATGATTTGGCATATTCTAAAAGGTTGGTTTGTAATCAGCAAAAGGACTTGCAACAAATTGAGACAGCAGGGAAACACATGTCTCTTTTTTTACATTTATTGTTTCGACCCCAGTGGTTTGCGTTTAAAACACCTTGCCCATTACTGCTTGAAACGTCCCTGGGCCACTCTCCTTCTCCATTAAGAACCGCTTTAGTACCCCACTGCTTTCTCCACAGAAAGGTACTTATTGCAACTCCTTTGCCAACATCAACGTCTTCCATTAAGTGTTTTTACAATGAGCTTAATGGACTGAGCTTTTCTTTACCTGTCCTTCAGTTTCTTGTTGTTACTGGACTTCCTACCTGCTCCTTAAACTACATTTATAGATCAGAGGAATGGAGGGAAAATCCAGGATCTCCTGTTTCATCAAGCGCATTAAAGAGACACTAGTCACAAAACCACGTGAGTTAGCAACAGAGCTTTGAATTGCTACTTTTTAAAGCAACTCCCCACAAAGATAAATCTTACTCCTTATGATGGGAAACTTATGTTCTCCTCATTTTCATTAAGACATTTTAAAGTACCAAACAACAATATTATTCCTTGTTACTCAGAAAAAAAAGGTGGATAGAATCATAAATTTATAGAATAACTGAGTTGGAAGGGGCCTATAAGGCCATTGAGACCGACCCCTTGAAAGCAGTAAGTTACTGTATTTTTTGGCGTATAAGATGCTCCCCCGTATAAGATGCACCCCCATTTCTCTAACCCAAAATTAAGAAATTAAGTGGGGCTTAGCAAGTGGAGGGGAAAGCAGGGATCAAAGCTCTGCAGAATTCAAAAATGTAATCAGTTATAGATCCAATACTGAAAATAATAACTATTAGAATCCCTCAAAATAATTATTTTTGTGTTAATGTTTTAAAGCATGAAGTTTGTTTTCCTGTCTCTCAAAAATAAACAAAACAGTTAATTTTGGGCTACTTTTAAAAAATTTGAACACTATAAGCTGCTGGTCTGTGATAAAATCCAGTTTCTTCTGTCCACCCTGTTCTGACTGAGCATCCATGACAGAGCATGAAGTATCAGCACATGGCACAGCACATAAACTATCTGCTACTGCTTGAACTATGCAGTATTCTTTGTCTGCCATTTAGCAAGGCCTTAACAAAAGGAATGAAGCTATGCCTCATTGAATTGCAGCTGTAATGTACCTTATCTATCTCTTTGTTATTGGAGGGAGGAGTTCATTGCAAGTAACTCATTATTTTTAATGAGTTACTTCTAATCTGTAATGAAAGAGGAGATGGAATAGAGTTGTCATGATAAAGGGGAGCACTGGCACCCTTTCAGAAGTGTTCCACACAACTACTGTATGTTTTGGTGCTAGTCCTATTCATAAACAGTTGAGCAGAAACGAGGAACTTGTGGCTCTTCCGGTGTGGCTAAACTGACGCTCCCGCCAGCTCCAGTCAGCATAACGAAGGTGAATCATTGTGGGAATTGCAAATCAACAATATCTGGAAGGGTCAAACATTCCTCATCCCTGAAAAAAAACTGTAGTTCAAGCTTCTCTAGTTCAAGCCACTGACCTCAGAGGCCTGCGTTGGGCAGGACACCCCTTCCTAGTATAAATTCAGGACCTAACACTGTGACTAACCCAGAACTGTCCAGGAAGGACCTAGGGCTTGGTCCATCTAGAGTTTGCTGAGATTCACTTTTGAAGTACCAGTGCAGAACGTACAAGAAGGGTGACAATGGAGCATTCACCATTCGCCACTCAGATTTCCTCACTGAACAACATGGTTAAGCAACAATTTCCTTGAAGCCATTATAAAAAGCAAAAATGAAAGCAACAGTGTTCTGCTTCAGCAAAACGTAAGACATTTAAAAATGAATTGCCTCATGGGCGTTCATATAGCCCTTGCCTTCAACATTTGAAGTGACCTACCGATTCTCTGTGGGAATCCACTTTTTGGTGCTGAGGAAATAAAGTTGGAACTTCATTTCCTCCTGCAGACTTTGTGCATCCCTGATTCCCTACACTGAAAGTCCTGTAGG